AATACCATAATACCTTCATGATCCTGAGGTAGACAAAATTTTTCTACACAGAATATAAAAAGCACTAACCATAAACAAAGACTGATAAATTGAGCTTCACTGAAATGATGAACCTCTGATTATTGAGAGAGTAAAAAGACAAGCCATCAACTGGAAGATAATATGTGCAATACACACATGCCATACAAACAAAGTTTTCAACTCTGACAAATCAAAAGAAAGCTGACAACCCAATTTGTTTTTAGTGAGCAAAAGATTTGAAATGCACTTCACAAAAAAAGAACAGTAAAGGCCAGTAGGCACACAAAAACGTTCAAAATCAATATTCTTCAGGAGATTAAATTAAAACCATAAAAAATTAGGCACACATCCAGCAAAATAGGCAGGAGTATATACATAATGCAATAGCTAGTGTCAGCGAGCAACTGGATCTCCCTTACGCTGCTGGTAAGAATGTGAACTGAGATAGCAGCTGTGTAAAACTGACCAGCAATATCTACTGAAGCTGAAGGTAAGTAAACCCTAACCCTCAGCAGCTCCACTATGTATCGATCCAGCCTGAATTTCTCAAAAGAAATTATAACGATGTTCTTAACAGCATTATCACAATCATCAAAAACAGGAACAAAATGTCCATCAATACTAGAAGGGATAAATATATTACGATATAGTCATATAGAAAAGCAATACTTATGCTACCTGCAACAGCATGAAAACTCAAGACATACCACCAAATGAAAGACACAAAAGAGTACATGCTATATGAAGTCATTATTATACATTTCCTCCAAAATGGATAATGACCCATATCTTGACATGAGTGATGCCTAAATGCACTTTGTAAAGTTCAGATTCCACACTTATTTGTGCATTTTTCTGTACATATGTAAAAATCTCACTTAAAAACTTAGGGGAAAAAAGTCACTTGTCAAAATTCTGCCAAATAAAAGGTTCAAAATAAAGAACACCACAATAGGCCCAAAGAAAAAGATTATAAACAAACACTGAATTTACTTAAATATAGAACTATGAGCTGGGCTTGGTGGCTCAGCCTGTAATCCCAGAACTTTGGGAATGGATTGTCTGAGCCCACGGGTTCAAGACCAGCCCGGACGACTTGGCGAGACCTCATCTCTACACTAAATTAAAAACTGGCTGGGCGCAGTAGCATGCGCCTGTAGTTCCAGCTACTTGGAATGCTGAGGTAGAAGGATTGCCAGAGTCCAGCAGGTCGATGCTGGGGTGGCCATGAACATGCCACTACACTCCAGCACGGGCGACGGAGTGAGACTCCAACTCAATAAATTAAATAAATAAATATAGAACTATGGTCAAACCATTAGAAAACACAAATATATCAACTTCAACAATCTACAGTAATAAAGTTAAAATGCAATTTATCCCATTACTGCACCAGATTGCAACAGCTAAACAGTTTCACCAGTTTTAGACAGTATGTCTGAAGCAATCTGACTGAAACCGTGGGCCGCACGGGAGAAAGGCCACGTGAGGCAATGGCTTCAGAGACAGGAAGGACCATCCCAGCCCTTGCAGGCTACTGAGTGGCAGTGGAAGCCTTTGCTCTAGTCAACTCCTTTCACCCTGTTCCAGGTTGGAATGCCAGCAGGGCTTACTTAACAACGGCTAATGACTGACTTTTCAGAGACTCCAGAAAGGCCAATCAGCACAACAGAGCCAGAAAAATAAAATTTAAAACTAGGAGGTAAAACAAAGGGTACATATCATTCATAGGGAGCAACAATACAGACTGCCTTCAAATAACCAGTGGCAACAGGCTCCACACCTCCTCAATGACTCTTCTGGAATGAGCCTCACAAGACTGCACAACCCTTTCGCTTGACTTGGGCAGGCAACGGAATCAAATCCCTAGAAGAAAATGGCAAACGGAGGTGTTCCTAGCCTTTTAACTTGCTGAGTTCTTTCCAGTAAATTAAGCTGTTCTTAACTCAGATGGAACAGGGAGAAATTATTTAAGGGTGGGACTACATGCCATTGATCTGTGTAGCCCCAGAGACCGAGCCTAGACCAGGCACACAAATTAGACCTTTTAGATAATTGCTCAATGTTGATTTATGAGTATATACTGAATTCAATAACTGTTACACTGTACGGCCAGATTCTAATGAAAATGTTTAGTGCTAATCAACAATGAAAAATTTGGGCTTTGTACTTTTTTAAGGGCAGATTTCTTCTTTACTTTTATGCCATTCCAACATTCGGTGCTTTAACTAAAACGTCTTGGCTATTAAGCTGAAAACACTTCCAAGTGGGTAAAGTCATATTTTAGTCTAGTTTCCAAATATACTGCACCATAATCAAGCATGAAAAAAAAGAAACAAAACCTTGTTTTCTTCCATTTTGGTCAATTCCTATAGGTTTTTACCACTAAGAGTATCTCTTAGGAACCTAATGAGAAATATTTATTAAATTGATCTAACCCACCCCTTTCCAAAAGAGACTTGAGTCTGATAAATACTTTATACTTTAAAAAGAGAAAAGTTTTCCTTGTAGGGACTCCCCCAACTTTTCATTCAATGGAGCTCTGTTTTTATCTCTGCTTTTAGGGGAGCATTTACAATTCATTTCAAAAAATGTTAAATTTTTTTTCTTAAAGAAAAACAAATTTTAAAAAAATGATCTGGTACAATTCTTCTGCTTTACAAACAAAAAGACAAAAAGCCAACAAAACCGGTAAGTCACTTCAGTTACGTGGTCATCAAGCAGATTAATGATCTTTCCTAACACCAATGTTAACTCTAGTCATTTCCTTCTTTCTCTCTTTTTTTCTTTGAGTTGGAATCTAGCTCTGTTGTCCAGGCTGGAGCACAGTAGTGTGATCACGGCTCACCACAGCCTCAGGCCTCCTGGGCTCAGGTGATCTTTCTGCCTCAATAGAGACTGAGACTATAGGCACCACCATACCCAGCTCATTTTAAAATTTTTCCTAGAGACAAGGTCTTGCTACATTGTCCAGGCTGGCCTTGAACTTCTGGGTGCAAGCAATTCTCCCACTTCCACCCCCAAGTGCTGAGATTAACAGGCCATTAATTTCTTTTTAATACAAAGAATAGCCCTGTGTCAGGGAGGAGATTGCAAAGAGCAATAAACTAATTAAGTAAACTTCCTATAGTCCGAGTTGTACTCATTTTTCCCTAAATAAAGCTTTATACGTGTAGGGGATAATCTGACAGGAAATTTCCAGCCTTCTGAACTACCCAAGGGCACAAGAGAATTATAAAGTCACAGATGTTAGCTCTGCAGCAGACTGACCTACTCAGCTGTACGTCAGTAAGCCTGCGGAAACTAAATTTTCTCCAGCATGCAGGTCCAAACAACAGTGATCTGCAAAAAGGGGAGCTGCTTTGGACAAGCCCTCATTGCAGTAGAGATCTTTACTTTTCAATCAGCAACACTTTCGAGACGAATACTACAGAAGCCAGCTACAGATACAAGTGCAAAGAAACCGGTCCTGAGCAATTGGATGCGTGCTGTTCATTCACGCAAGTATGCAAACAACAAGTTCACTGTCTTACTGAACAACTCCACCCGGTCTTTCACTTTCCCCTCTTCTTTTCAGGCCTAAAAGTGGCTTTCAGCACACTGGTGAACCACAGAAAAGGAGCAGATTCGGTTAAGACAAAACTTGTGAAAGAAAGAAAGAATCTGTGTATGAATGTGGATAATTTCAGACTCCATGACGAATTGCAAAGAGACCCGCTGTCAAAGAAAGTCACATTCAGCACCCAATTTCAACACTCGCACCTCCTGGTTAACCAAAGAGATAAAAATCTTTTAACATGCTGCTTCTGATTTTAAAGAAAGAAAACTTGTTTTAATCCTTTTTCTCATGGGTTGAAATATGAGATTTCCACAGAAATCTATTGGAATTTACAGAGTTAATGACAGTAAAAATGGTCAATAATGAAAACAAAATTTTCTTCTAAAAAGAGTTTTCCCTTCTCTTATAAAAATAGTTAACAAATTTTATTGAATAACTTCAGATTATAAAGGAAATAAGTTTATTAATAAGTTAATTATCAAAATAACCAATTGTAAATCAGTAATGCATACCTGTAAAATCTAAATTTTAAAGCAACACCAGGAGTTCTTTACATGCTTGCATAAAACTTACTTACCATAAAGTTCACTTTTTTTTTTTTGGGCGTTGGAGTCTCTCTGTTGCCCAGGCTAGAGTGCAGTGGCACATTCATGGACACCCCAGCATCGACCAACTGGGCTCGTGATCCTTCCACTTCAGCCTTCCAAGTAGCTGGAACTACAGGCGCACGCTACCATGCCCGGCTAATTTTTCTTGATTTATTGTAGAGACGAGGTCAAAGAAAGTCACATTGCATGGACTGGTCTCGAACCCGCAATTCTCAGGCAATCCATTCACCTCGGCCTCCCAAAGTGCTGGGATTACAGGCTGAGCCACCAATCTCAGCCAAAGTTCACTTTTTAACACTTTTCTCCAAAAAACATCAATCCCCTTATATGAAGATATACAACTTTACATAATGACATTTCTTCACAGAGTAAAATACTGTGCAAATCATAAACACACCATACCAACGAACAAGACCATTTTCAAACAGTATAGACTTTGACCACATCCACAAGGGAGCACTGTGTCACAGATCAGCCCTAGGGGTGACTTGAGGGAAACGGCATGGGACTTGCGGACCCAGTGCCACCACAGTCCTCCGCCAGAGGCCACAGTCCCAAGCTAGAGTCATTTCAAGAAGGTAACAACTTGCTCCCAGACATGAGAGATATAGAAATCATTATTTTTCTACAACTCTCTGCTTATTGATCTATATCATAAAAGGAGCATACCTTTACATAGTATAAATATTTAATTGCCAAGCAATCTGTTATTATTTTCTTCACTGAGCTACTGCTATACTTTCTTCAAAATTAGTATTTGTTGCAGTTAGAAACACAAGAAGTCCAAAGGATAGTTTAATGAAAAAACTCACCTTAGTCATTGTTTTTGCTTTCAAAGCTCCATTCTCCACAACACTGAGGTCCAGTTTGCCATCATCCTTACTTCCTATGGCTTTTAGTCCTTGCAAAAGAATATCTCGCAAATTCTGATAAAGAGGTTTTTCAGTATAGTCTAGTAGTTTCACTGTTTCCATGTATTTCGCAATTTCACCTGAAAAAATAACATAATCAGTTTATAACTTATAATCACAAATCCAGTATATGTATCTCTTACTTCTAAGAAAATAATTCATGCTTATAGTAATACAAGACTGCAAACACATAACATCTTGTTAAGATATGTTTTTTTTTTCCAATCGCTGCAATGTTTTCATTGCTTTTGAACTATGCTTTTGAACTCAGGAACTATCAGATAAGTCAAATAAAAAATGTATTTTGAGATAAAATATAAAAACACTTTTGGAATTGTGAGAGACAATAAGACAGAATACACACTTAAAATTTAAATATGTATAAAAATAACTGCTGTAATTTTAAAGTTATGAAATTACAAAAGAACCTATAACAAAGATTGTGAAAGTAAAATATTCTTAAGTACAATGAATATCATAGCCAATATGTTTCTGCTATATAAGCCATCAGTTCTATAGCAGATAGCTGCATTCTTTAAGTAAATGAAAAATAAAACATACCAAAATGGTTGAAGAAAAGTTTTCCCATAAAAGAGAAAAATTGGCTTCTGAATGATAAAAGGTTTACTGTACACTGAGGCAGAACCATACCATAAAAAGAAATCCTACTAGTGAAGATCAACACTTCTCGACATTAAAAATCCATTTTTGAGCTAAGAGCTCACACACAGACCTTTCCCCTACCTCCAGACTTACAAACCCAGACTCACACATCAATTCTGGGATGGAAACTGTTATTCCAACTTGCAACAAACCCACATCTAAACTCCTGGCCTATCCCCAAAACCTGCTCCCTGTGGTTTTCCCTGTCTCCATTACCAAGAATGTCATCCTTCTAGCTAAAGCCAAAACCTCAGTCAGTCATCCTTGAAGCTCCTCTTTCTCACACCCCACATCCAATACATCAAGAGATCTGGTCAATCTTCCACACACACATATATATACACGTTCATTAATTCAAGTTATTTACAAGCACCTCCTATGTGTCAGGCACTAGCCTCGATCTTTGGAATACACCAAGAAAAAGGAGGCAAAAATTCCAAATGCCCCCTCTCTTCATCTGATAAAGGGAATCTACAAAAAAATCTGAAACAGACATCACCATGTATGGGTAAAACATTGAAAACATTCTCTCTGGGAGAGGAAAATGGCTAAGATATCCACTCTTCCCACTTCTGCTCAGTATGTTAGGAGAGTTATATATGTTTTTAGTTTGAACAAGCAAGAAGGTAAGAGAAGAACTAGAAGGCAAGAAGAGTAGAACAAAAGACGTAAAACATCTTGAATCGCAAACATGACAGTGTATGTAGAAAATCCCACAGAATCTACAAAAAACTACCAAAGCTAATAGTCAAATTTAGCAAAGTCGCAAAGCAGATATATAAAAAATCTATCTTATTTCAGCCAGGCATAGTGGTTCATGCCTGTAATCCCAACACTTCCCAAGGCTGAGGTGGGAAGATCACTTGAGACCAGGAGTTTGAGGCTGCAGTGAGCTATAATCATGCCACTGCACTCCAGCCAGCCTGGACAACAGAGTGAGACTCTGTCTCAAAAAAAAAAAAAAAAAAAAGGAAAAAAAAGAAAAGAAAAAATCTTATTTTTAAACATGAGCAAAAAGCAATTAAAGAAATAAACTTCTTAAAAACCACTTAAAATAGAATCAAAATGTTAACAAACATTTAGCAACAATACAATGAAAAATGGATAAAGGTTTTCCCAGAAATGACTATGAAATACAGCTGAAAGAAATTAAATAAAATCAAACTGAATAAAGGATATGCCTGCCATATAAGCTCACTGGAAAACTCAGTAGTATAAAGATGTCAGTGCTCTCCAAATTAGTCTTATAGAGTCAATTCAATCTCAAAATTTTAGCAATCGTGTGTGTGTGTGTGTGTGTGTGTGTGTGTGTGTGTGTGTAACTGCCACAGTGATTCGAACATTTAAATAGAAATGCAACAGGTCAGGTCAAGAATATCAAGGTAACAAAGTCAAGTTTAAGGAAAAACAATGCCCGAGGACTTAAACTACCAGACATCAAGACTTAGGATAAAGGTACAGTGTTTAAGATATGTGATCCAAAAACAGACAAAAAGAAAGTCCAGAAACAGAGCCACAGATCCACACTTAATTTAGGACAAACATGACACCATGGGAAAAAAGACGGTTCAAGAAAGGCTGCTGGGTCAACTGACTATAAATACGGGGGTAGGAAAGAAATTGGACCCCAAAAATCAGTGGCAGGTAGACTATGTATCTGTATGTATAAACGGAAATCTGTAATTGCCAAAATTGGAGGCAACCCAGCAGTAGAATAAATAAATGATAGTATACCAATACAATAGAATACCATACAGAAATGAAAACAAATTGCTAAACATGCAATAACGGGGATGAATTTCACAAATATGTTATTGAGTGAAAGGATAGTAACAGAACATTAATCTCCTAACAGGGATTTTTACCTATTTCATTCACTGTATGATTCTACTTCTGTACACATATATACACACACACACGTGTGTATATATATATACATTTTTTTATATATATAAAAATATATATATATATTTTTTTTTTTTTTAGACAGGGTTTCACTCTGTTGCCCAGGATGGAGTACAGTGGCACAGTCTCAGCTCACTGCAGCCTCAAACTCCTGGGCTTAAGTGATCCCCCTGCCTCAGCCTCCCAAGCAGCTGGAACTACAGATGGGTACCACCACGTCTGACTAATATTTTTTTCTTTTTGTAGAGACCAAAAAAATTTTGTTTTCCTATTTTTTTGTAGGGCTCTTGCTCTGTTCCCTGGGCTGGTCTTGAACTACTGGCCTCAAGCAATCTTCTTGCCTCGGCTTCCCAAAGTACTGGGATTACAGGCATGAGCCACCGCGCCCAGCACCAATTCTGTATATTTAAAACAAATCTTTGGTGTTGGAAGCTAAGCAAGTGATTCATCAGGCCAGGAGAGAGAGGCTACTGATTGGCAGGTGGCCCAAGGGGTTCTCTGAGAAGGCCGTGTTGTATTTCTTAACGTGGGTGGTGCGCTGCAATTTTATTTTATTTTATTTTATTTATTTTATTTTTTTTTTTTTTTGAGTTGGAGTCTCACTCTGTCGCCCAGACTGGAGTGCAGTAGCCGCTCCCGGCCACCGCAGCCTCGACCCGCTGGGCTCCGGCGATCCTTCTGCCTCAGCCTTCGGAGTAGCCGGAATTACAGGCATGTGTTACTACACCTGGCTGATTTTTTTTGATTTATTGTAGAGATGAGGTCTCGCTGCCCAGGCGGGTCTTGAACCCGCAGGCTCAGGCCATCCACTCACCTCAGCCTCCCAAAGGCGCGGGATTACAGGCTGAGCCACCGAGCCCGGCTGCGCTGCAATTTTAAACAGCATAAGGTCAGGGTAAACTTCCGGAACAGACTACCGAGCAAAGGCTTGACAAGACCCCTGAGCACACCCCAAGCGACCACCCCTCCCCGTCCTCCCTGCCACACGCTCGCTCGAGTCCCCACGCAGCCTCCACCCGGCCTTGCTTCCTCAGCAGTCCACCCAAGCAACGTGGGGGCGACGCCCCTGCTCCAAACCTCAGCCGTGCTCCAGGGGATCACCAAAGCCCATGTGAGACCTGCAGGGACACGCTCCTTGAAGCCACCGGACACCTGTGTCCCTCCTGCCTGGAGCTCTCTCCCCAGACTTCCACACCACTCACTCCTCCACCTCCTCCCTACACTGGCAGGTGTCAGCTCTTCCAGGCCACCCACCTCCCCGCACCCCCAATTCTACTCCCTGTTTTCTTCTTTTCACAGTACTAACCATGCAACATCCTGTAAAAGTCACCCATTTGCTATCTGCAACTAGAACACTCGCTTCTTGAGGGCAGGAATTGCAGGAATTTCTGTTTTATTCACTGTACACAATAAAGCCTCAATAAGTGACTAAAAATGGAATGGAGAAATGAAATTTGCTTCCTTTCCTGAAAGCACTGAATAACAAGGAGTGAGGGTCAAGCATTTTATTGAATATTTGGGAAGGGAAGTGCTTTTTTATTTGATTGATAATTTTATTTTATTTTTTTAGTTGGAGTCTCACAGTCACCACAGCCTCGACCTGTGCTCAGGTGATCCTTCCACCTCAGCCTTCCAGGTAGCTGGAACTTCAGGTATACACTACCATGCCCAGCTATATTTTTTTTTATTTACTACAGAGACGAGGTCTCACCAAGACGCCCAGGCTGGTCTTGAACCCCTGGGCTCAGGCAATTCTCTCACCTCGGTCTCCCAAAGTGCTGGGATGACAGGCGTGAACCACCATGCCTGTCGGAAGTGTTTTTTTAATGAGAGCAGGCCCAGCATAATGATTACACTTAAAAGTATTTCATATCTTCCACTAAGAATATTCTCAGTGTCATGCCTTTCTTTCCCCAGAAGACAAAATTCCTATCAACATTTAAGAAGTCTTTTCCTACCTGGTTTGTTTTTCTCGGGAAAACATTTGTCCATCAAACCTGCAATATTTTCTCTGTATCTGTTAAAAATTAAAGAATGAGTCACTGTTTGAAGCTTGATGTCACAGAGTGTTATTAATGTTTAATAACAATAAGTAGTACATTAAGCAGCATTTGTGCTACATCCTAAATATGCTTACAGACATTTTTTTCTAAAATAAATGAAAGACCAAGGAACCTTCTGTTAAACAACTACTTTCTTATCTCTCGATCAGTACCTGTGAAAACACCAGTTCCTGCTGAGAAACTCTAACTAAAAACACTTGCTTATCATGATTGTGCCCAAAATAATTTAAGCTTTCCTTTACCTAATTTTCGAATCTCTGACATAATTAGGATCTTTCAAATTATCCTCCCAAGGAAGATGGCCCGTAAGCCACTGGATCATGCAATAACCAAGGATTTCCAGATCACCACGTCTTGATGGGGCTACAAATGTAAAAGAAGGTGAGTTATACTGAAAGACTTTGTACAGGATAACTTTAAGCACGCATAAAGTCATTAGGTAAAACAGTTAGCTCCATAGTCTGTCTTCCATCATAAAATCTTGACTGTATTCAACAGAGGTACTGAACATCCTAACCAATCTCCAACTAGTAAGTTACATAGTTCAAACTGGTAAACTTTAGGGTTTCAAGTTGAGACTATCAGTCCAGGAAATAAACTATAAAATAATTATATAGTCACTACTGCCTTTGGAAAGCTTAAAGATATTCTTTAAGACGTTCTATGCTATAGAGAACTGGATGTCTGAGATGCTCAACCATGTCAGGTACAGAAAAAAACAAGCAACTGCTAAAGAAATACAATAACCTGAACCAGGCGCAGTGGCTCATACCTGTAATCCCAGTACTTTGGGAGGCAGAGGCGAGAGGACTGCCTGAGCCCAGGGGCTTGAGAGCAGCCCGGGTAACTTGGCAAGACCTAGTCTCCACAATTAGAAAAAAAAATTAGCTGGGCATGGTGACATGCGCCTGTGGTTCCAGCTATTTGGAAGGCCATGGTGGAAGGATCGCCTGAGCCCGGCAGGTCTTGGCAGTGGTGGCTGTGAGCACACCACTGCACTCCAGCCTGGGCGACAGAGGGAGACTCTGACTCAAAAAAAAAAAGAAAAGAAAAGGAAAAAATAAGCTAACTTAATAGGTGACAAAATAAAAGCTACCTGTTATAAAGTCGTAGCTACGTAAGAAATTTAGACTTAAGGCAAACCAACATTCCAATTAAGCTGAATAAAACCAAAAATAAATCCACGCTGCAGTTGAAGGAGCCATTTCACCACTTCCAACTTTTTGATTATCTCTGAAAGTGGAAGAGGAGGGAGAGAACTCAATACGGTCCTGGAATATAATTACAGAGTCTCACCTCTGCCTTCTGTCTCCATCCCACCTTTTCTCTTCAGTTTGTATTTACCTGCTTACTTATTTATGCATAATTAAGAACTGTGTAGGAATCTGGTTGAAAATATTAGCAATGTATCGCTCATTCAAGCACTACTGACATACCCACGCCATTGTGCGCGTCAATGCTGGTGAATTCAATAGTGCCATCGTGACACCTTTTGGGGTCTTCTTTGTACTCTTTATGAACGCCTTCTGGGCAGTACCGATAAGCAAGTCCATAATCGACCAAGTACACCTGTAAATTTCCAATCACCAAGACAAATGAAAGGCAGAATCACTGTCATGTACGCCTCTAAAGCACAGAGCCCAAATACGGTCATGTGGGGTGAATTTACCTACAAAGTCACACCACAGCAACCTAAACAAGTTAGATCCAAATCACAAACAACAGCAATATTTATTCTGAAGGACATTTTATATTTAATAAAATGTTAGATGACTACATAGTTGCAGTCTAGATATCACTTATTATATAATACTTGTAATTAATCTCATCTCAACTTGGACAATGAACACTTTCTTTTACAGACTACAGAACAAAAAGCAAGCCATCAATACTTGTTGCGATACAACTGTCACTTTCCACACAGAAAAATACATGGAGTGTAAGGCTGCTAACAGAGGTGACCCATGATACACTTACTACTCATCTTCCATTCCTGTTTCTTCTCTTACAAAATAGTCAACTCCCAATTTACTTTACAAAAATATTTCATAGATTAAAGTAATGATCTAAACACCTGTTAGATGAGGCTCACCTATGTTTAAGTACTATGTAGTAGAAGTAGACTTCATGATTAAAACTAAACCTTAGTATTATAGATACACACACCTGCGGGTATACACACAGGTGGGTCTGGTTAACATACAAAGCTAGTAAGTTTTGCTTTCTTCTATTCCATGGCCACATATTACATCTCTAATTCTGGGTAAATGTCACAAATATATGTATCTGGGCACAAGAAGAAACTGAAGTAGAAATATGGGGACACAGCACATACACCAATTACTGAAAACATAATCCCGTAAAAGCAATGTCCGAGGAATAGCAGAGCTGCAAAAATGCTTCCATAAAAACAAAAGGCAGTATGTTTTAGTCAACTGCAAACTGCTGATGTAAGCTGTATTTTTATTTATTATATTGTAAAGTCCAGCCTACTTCAACTAATGGAACCCTTATTGTTTGGGTTCTTAGCTTTTTTAACCTAGAAATGCCTAAAATGAGATGGCTAGGAAGGGCAGAGATAGATCTGATGATTACGATTTCTCCATTAGGATAGCAACTTTCTCCTTCTATCTTAGAGTCCCTTATATCTACCGTCACTGACATGGAAGGAGGGGACACAAATATATGAGATGACAGGGGGAAAAAAAAAAGCCAAAGGAAAAGGAAAAACCAACCAAAGAAGTTAAAGGGAGGTCTGAGAAAAAGAAAACTATTAATAAATAATTGCAATCATTACAATAATCAAAGTATCCAGCACACTTAAAATGTTTAAATCTTCTCTTTTTTATACAAGATCAAGTAAGAAGTGAGAACACACATGAAGTACAGTGGCCCAACTATGAGTATCAAGTAAACCTTACTTTGATCCAAATCACAAAATTATACAGATCCCTCAAACTAAACTGACCCAAATAAAGGTACGATAACATTAGCTTTTTAGTTTATCACAAAGAAAATGTAATAAACTAAAAAAATGCACATTTGAATTCCAAACACTAAGAGTATACAAATTTAGACAGCTAAGATATTTCTGTAAATCAATTGATTTGAATAATCCACATGTTAAAGAACAAATTTTCCAAGTAACAGAACACTTACATTTGAAGGATTTCTTGAACAAAGGAAATAAAAAAAGTGACAAAGCAGACAGGCAAACATAATTCATTGGTGTACTATATAATTTTAAGCTTCCACCCCCAAATAGCTATTTGAAATTCATTTTGTATCACAAGCACTTCTTCTGAATATTATTTAAGGCAAAACAGCCAACTTGAGAAAGTGCCAACAAATCGCATCAAAAACGTAGAATGTTCACTGGATCAAAGTGTCAAGAAAAAATATTATCATCACCGTATCTGCTTCAAAAAGGAAAACTTCTGCATGGGTTTGAAAGCCCAAAGCAACCGTCTTTGTTTCAAACAACACGCTTTAAAGAGCAGAAATGGAAGCTCTAAGACTACCTGGTCGGGATTCTCGTGGCTCAGAAGAAGATTTGAGGCCTTGATGTCTCCATGCACATACTCGTGCTCGTGAATATACTCCAGGATATCCAGCTATGAAAGCATCAGAGAACACGTTAATGCAGTACCTCACAGCAGCCAGCAGAGGACCAGGCTTCAACACAAACTAGCTTCTACTGCACCAAAAACAACTTTTTAAAGACAAGAGGAACGTAGTTCACCTACAATTCTTAAACTCAGCTGCAAGACAGTTTTCCGAGAAAACCTTTTGGTGTTTGCTTCATATATTTTCTGAAGGTCACTCCCAAAGCGATCCATTATCATAAACCTGTAACTGAGGACAGATATGAAACATCAGTGAACAAAATATAACTCAGGAAAATCTACTTGGCAATGAGTACTCTTTCCCTTCAACGTATTTTTTCAAAGCCAAGTTTAGTAGGAAAGTATTCTTAAAAAAAGAAATACAAACATTTAAGACAATTTCTCCTAATTAGAAATCTCAGGAGTTTAGAATGCTTTCCTGCCCTGCCTTCTACCTAGGGGACAATTTATGATAATACCCACAGAGAGGATTCAACAGATTCATTCACAGTAAAAATAAAACAATCTGAATAAAAAGGACAGCATTAATTTTTCTCAGAGTTAAAATTAATTTATGTTTCTGGATATTAGCATCCTTCCTGTGACTATTTTTCTCTTTTTGTAAGATCTATTTCAGCAGTATAAATATTAGTAAAATCAAGACTGTCAAGAGATGCTGTAACAACAGCTACATTGAACACAAGGGTCTAAATGGTGTAAAAGGACTGTATATTAAACAGTCAGTGGTCAAGATTTGGGGAAAAACAAATACCCTGGAATAATGTGAAGATTTTTGGTTTTACCGCTAAGCAACTGTGCTGCCTTGACCAAGTCACATTACTTCCTTGGGCCTCTATTTGCACAGGAGTAAAATGAGGGAGTAGAAACTCACCCTTCCTAAGGTCTTCTCTACCAGTCACAATTGAAAGATACAACTGTCATATGCTATATTTCAGGATTTACAAAAAAGCACTACCTATGTGCAGTAACACCATTCAGCTTTTGCTCTGAGGACTTGAACAGTTTTCTAGATTTCAGGTTGTCTGGTTGAATCACTCAATAAATCAATGAAAACCAAGGCCGCACTCAGAAGTTATCAAGATGTCTTCCAATGGGGCTAAAATTATGAATCATCATCATCACCATAGCATCTAGCATAACCTGAATACTTGGTATGAGCACTGCGTCACTCCAAGCACTTGAGATGTATTAATGCATTTAAACCTCACATCATCCCTGTGAGAGAGGTACTCCTATCACCCCCATTTTACAGCAGAAGAAAGCCAGTAAGTAATTTGTCCTCTAGTATGTGGGGGAGTCGTGCTTTTAACCACACGGCACTACACATATGGAAATACACATCAGTGGGTTACCAGAATCCAACTTATATGTTGTAGGCTTCAATGGTCACAATATGACAAGTTCAATAGGGAACAAAGAGTTAACTAACATTATAAGATAATATGTTGAGAAGAATACTATTCATTTTTTAACTGAAAGAGAATTAGAGATCATTTTGTGTAAATACCTTTAAATAAACAAAATAGTTCATATCTATGAAGGCAAAGCAATTTGTCTAAAGTCATTCAACTAGCTGTATATATATGAATTCATGTAAGATTTCCCAGTACCTTAACCTATAAGAAAAACGAAGAGGAAACAGTGACTCTGACTTCCTGATTTCCTTTGTATAACAGATCTGGAAATGTTGAGAGAATGAGACCAGGGGTCATGTAGGACATGTTTGCTTTTACAAATTATGATTATGATACAGGTTGAGCATCTCAATCTTAAAACAAGCACTGGAACATTTTGAATTTCAGATTTTGAGATCTAGAACACTCAACCAATAGGTATTAAAGCAAATATTCCAAAACTTTTTTTTTTTAAGTGAAATTTAAAATATTTCCGGTCCCAAGAATTCAGATAAGAGATACTCAACTTGTAATATATATGGAAGACAAAAATACAATCTTTCCTAACAGCTTAATTCAACATGGGATCTATTAATAAATCACATTATGAGGTAGGTCTTTGTTTTTATTCATAGCTCACCCCACCACTACTCTAATAATCCCTTACTGTGTTCATCATTTCTATATCATAAACATCGACTGAAGCAGAATTCCACACATTTCACAGAAACTGCTAGCATATTCTTATGGAAAGACAGTACTGCCTATCACTGAATAATCAAATGAAAGCTATTTCTAAGTAACGCTGAAATAAAATTTTGATGCATACTTTTCTGGAGACTTGGATAAAACATGCAAATAAAAAGAAAATATAATCAGTATAAATGAGTTAATGATAGTAGCTAGCATTTTTATAACCCTAACACTGTTCTAAGCCTTACATACATATTAATTCAAATGAATTATAAGGTAAAGTAAGAATTTTCGGCAAGGAAGGGGCTGAAAGAATAAGCTTACTTTCTATTTCTTTACTTTTGTAACACCTATGATAATTATTTTTAACAGCTTCAACCTAAAAAGTAAAACGATATCTTACATATGACTAATGTTCTTTTTTAAGGAAACATTTCTAGCAACCTCATTTTACAGAGGATGAGAAGTAAGGTTACTAGTAAGTAGCGAGTTAGGACTTATAAACTCAAGTGCATGTGGTTTGTCACCAAACTCCAAGACACCCCTGGATCCATGCAGGGGACGTTCTCTCCAGCAGAGTCCTGGTCGGTCAGCTTACAGGGTCAACCTTCGACCCCAACAGCTCAGTTAGGCCCTGGTCACCTCGCGAGAGTGACACATACACATGCTCTGCTTAATTGGCTCGAAGCATCAGCATAAAATCGGTGCTAAGAACGTACACGGTAAAAGTGTGGAGCAACTTTAAGAAAGACCACCATTCCCAAGCAAAATACCACCTTTCCCAAACAAAAACAACAAACAAACAAAGCCAATGACAGTGACCGCAACAAACACTGGCCAGACACACGCTGCGTGTTCCCACAGCACACACTCTCTCCTTGCGTCTTCATCATGTAACGCCAGGGCCAGGCGCAGTGGCTCAAGCCTGTAATCCCAGCACTTTGAGAGGCCGAGGCGAGGGGACTGCCTGAGCCCGCGGGTTTGAGACCAGCCAGGCAACTTGGAAAGATGTCGCCTCTGCAAAAAATAGAAAACTAGCTGGGCGTGGTGGCACGCGCCTGTAGTTCCGGCTACCTGGAAGGCTGAGGCGGAAGGATCGCCGGAGCCCAACAGGCTAACGCCGGGGTGGCCGTGAGCGTATCACTGCACTCCAGCCTGGGCGGTAGAGACTCTGACTCAAAAAAAAGAAAATTGCATATAACTCCATAAAGTAAGCAAGTCATCCTCATCTCACAGATGAGGAAGCCAGAGACGGAGAGTAGCCGCCAGCGCCATGTCCGACGGAGGCAAGCAGAATCAACTGAGAGTCACATCTGTTCGGTCTGTTCAGTGACGCTGAGGTTCTATGGCCGATGCTGAACTTTAAAAAAAAGTTTGTATGGAAATTGTGGAAGGGCAAAGCCTTTGTGAGTCCAAGTCTAAACGCGCACTAGCCCAAAGCACACTCTTCTTCCAATCGCCTCTGCGAAGTGTGGTTTCTCCAGCCGTGCTGCTTTTTAGGAACAGAACTGTTGTATGCTGACGCACAGGTGAGTATAGCTGCTACCTACCTCTCATCTGTGAGAGGTTTTCCGGCCTCGCTCCCTAGATGGCCTCTAATTCCCCATGCAAACCAATTCCCGAGTGCCACTTTCGCCACCACGGCACCTCGTCCCTGGCTCAAGAGCGTGCAATGGCTTCTGACTACCTGCTTCCCAAACAGCTCTTTCCTCTCTGGTTCTTCATTATCCGCCTCAGTCTTTCCGTCCAGGCTTATTTCTTTCTCTCCTTTGCACACGTGCTCTCTTCCTGTGCTAGAGGAAGATGGCCAGTAGGCCACACACAGGGACAGAAGTCAGTCTTGCCAGGGTCATGCTAATCTCCCACTGGATGCTATCTCTTCTTTTCAATGATTTTTCTAGGCCATTAGGTCTTAACATGTAAAGAGTTCAAGACCCCTTTGAAAGTAGAAGCTAATGCTTATCGGTGTTCTACATATATTCCAAGAGGTTTACATTTAAGCCCCATTAAATGGGTAGCTGTTACTGCATTTTAACAGATGAGAAAACTGGGGTAAAAAGCAGTCATTTACTCAGTCACACACATTTTAAGGGGCAAAACACAGATTAGGAATTAGGCAGTCAGCCGGGCTCGGTGGCTCAGCCTGTAATCCCATGCTTTGGGAGGGTGAGGTGAGTGGATGGCCTGAGCCCGCGGGTTCGAGACCTGCCTGGGCAACTTGGCGAGACCTCATCTCTACAATAAATCAAAAACTAGCCAGGCATGGTAGCGCGCGCCTGTAGGTCCGGCTACTCGGAAGGCTGAGGCGGAAGGATCGCCGGAGCCCAGCAGGCCGAGGCTGTGGTGGCCGGGAGCGGCCGCTGCACTCCAGTCTGGGCGACAGAGTGAGACTCCAACTCAAAAAAAAAAAAAGAAACAAAGAAATTAGGCAGTCTAGCTCAGCAATCCTTGCCCTTAACTTACTTAACTAATTATCGCTCTACAGTATTTCTCCAGAAAAGCTTATAAAAACTATGAAATCTGTCCCAGCAAAGCTATATAAGGTAAAATGTCACAAGTGGTTCAGGGAGCCCCGTCCTCCCTAAAAGAGGCCTGGATCCCAAGGAGACCATACCGGCTGCCTACCCAACAACTACCCCTCCTCGCTCTTTGTAACAGAGCGCCAGTTTGGTTCAGGCACTCCATCCTCTTCCACATGGCCAGATGCTTCGCCAAGTCAATCACTGTGACCACTCTGCCTTTGCTGGTGACTGACTTGAGAACGAGCACTGACACAACTCTAACCAAAGAAGCAGGAGAGAAAGCCTGCCCTAAGACTCCGGGGAAAGCGCTGCTTCAACTCAGTGAAACGCACAAGACCTGGTGCTGCTCTCCACCACCGGGCACTGTGTCTGCCTGTGAAGCCAGGAGTGGAGCCGCCACCTGGAGGCCCGCCATGGGGAAGTGACAGCATGAGACCAAGAGGCAAGGGTGCAAGACAGGAAGCGGGGCCCCTGGTGGCTGTGTGAGGTCTTCCTTCCTTGCAGCTGAAAGCATCCTAAGCTACACCCTTCCTCCCGGCTCTAAACTGAAGCTGCCGGCCTACTCCATGAAGCTCCATTCATTCATTCCACAGTGTAAAAAATCAGCTATGACAAAGCATTCCTTCTCTCCATTCTCTCAACTCCCAAGACACGCGATTTAGCACTTAACTGTCCTCTCACTGCTTCATACGTGTTTGTGCGTTCTCTCTCAACAGCCAGACAGAAGCCCTCATAAGAGCAGGAGTCTAATCCTCTGCGGGCAGATTATGTACCTGACAGGAAATGCCAAATGGAACCCTGAAGGACTCCTTTTTGCAGAGGACCCAGGAGTTTTTGCATATTTCTTTTTATTCGCAAATAAGAAATGCTGGGCCTGTTGGGCTTTGTTCCATGGACATTGCTCTGTAGACGTCCCCTCGTTAGAGAGGTAGCCCCATCCTTACAGCACACCACGATCTGCTGCTGTGGAAAGCAGAGGACAGAGACAGCCTCTTACTCCTCTGTCGTGCACACTCCACATTGGCCCTGTGAAGGCCTAGTGATAGGATCCTGCAGGTGCTCGGTCATAACTCTTGTCTAACCACCTGGACAGTAAATGCTCAAAAACAGGAGAAGAAAACCAAATCGTGCGGTTTTACCTTTTTCCATTCTTATCGTGGAGACCAGACCCCCAATACTTAGGAACACCCAGGTACTTCAGTTTATGGGCACGCATCCATTTTTGAACTACAAGTTAAAAACAGATGTTTGTGATTTCAATTGCTACACATAAATCATAATATTTTTAAAGAATCATTAAGAGCACAATGTACTTAGACATATAATAAGAACTTACCTTTATTCATAAAAAATGAAGAATTCAGTATAACCAATAAACGAAAAGTACTTTATAGTCAAAACATTTTTATCAACCTATAAAATTATTATCCTGCCCTTAAAATTGCCTTTAAAATAAGAAATCTACAAAAAGCTTCCTAGATAATCATATCCACAGTACAATCGTCGCTTGGTTCCAGGACCCCTAAGATACCAAAATCCATGGAAGCTCAGGTCCCAAATGTAAAATGGTATAGTATTTGCACATACCCGCCACACATCTTCATGTACACTCGAAGTGCTATGTACATGGTTGCTATACAGCATTAGTTTATTGTTGTTATTATTCTTTATCATTGTGTTGTTACTTTTGATTACTGTTATTTCTCCCCCCCCAATTCTCAGTTGGTTGAATCTGAGGATGCGGAACCCATGGATAAAAGGAACAACATACTGAAGTTACAGTTCAACTCTCTAATTATGTAAATGTTGACTTGCTTTCACGGAAGACCCATTTTTATAGCAATCTACAAAGTTTCTTTCCCTCAATCCAGAAGTCCTCAACCAGAAAATCAAGACCCAGGAGAGAGGAAAGCTTTCCGGGAGAAACTGCCAAGCGTAATACCATCCTTCCAGGAGACGACAAAGATTTTCAGAGGGGAGGGAGGGGGCGGGGGCGGGAGAGAAGGGCCCAAAGGCCTGGAAGAGGCTCTGCTCTCAGCCTTTGTATCCTGTTCTAGCTCGACAGGGACGGCATTCCCTCAGGTTATGCTCTCCAGAATTTAGAAAAATACTCCAAAAGAGCTGACGGTCCTTGCACCATACTCATGGATCAAGGTCAATTCTGAATATTCAACAATATTTCCTAAATAATAAGTCAGTCACTAACTTTATTCAACATACGGGAAATTTTGATATAACAAACCCATTAAGAGATCAGAATTATTTCGTACAAATTTCAAATGAAATTTATAAAGCAAAAAATAATAAAGAGTAATAACATAAGACATAATAAATAAATAATAAAGAGTAATAACATAAGACATAATGCTCTAGTGTTGGCTTAAAACAAAGCAAGACACGGAGGTCATTTAAAAAGTACAAGCAAATGTGTACATTATTTCTTACTTTGCTCTGGCTTAGCAGCTCGCTGGTAGAACTTTAATTCAGTAAAAAGAGGTCCATTGTCACTGGGTTCCTTAAAACACAGGAGTTAATTAGTATTAGCAACAGGTAAGATTACTGAGCTATTTTCAATGAACCTTAAAAAAGACTAAAAAAAATTACTTTTTCTTTCCAAATCATGTAATTGTGTTACTTAAGTTTATAACTGTGTTAAAGATTAAATCAAATTCCTCAAAAATGTTGAGGGAAATACATAGGTCCGTAAGTCTAATATTTATCTCAAGTTCTGTAAGTGATAAATTATACAAAATCAGATATACGGCCCAGTCTTTGCACAAGTTTAAGAAAAAGGTTTAAATTAATTTTCATCTTGATTAAGCTTTCCTGTAAGCAAAGATCAACAACCATGTTAACTGTATCACCAAGGGGCTACAAGAGATTTCTGAGATTTAATACAATTCCAATACCTGAGTTAACCAATTAGTGGCGAAATCCCACTCTTCTCCTGTTCTCGTGACAGTTCTATGCAGCTATGAGGACTGGCAGAAACAGACATTCCACGAAAAGAAGAGTCGTCTGGCTCCCCAGAACGAGCACGCCTGTCTCTCTAACTGCCTCCTTTCCTTGCTGACACGGACTCCCACGGTTCACACCAAAGGCCCCTAAGACTTAGCTCCCACATGACAATTTAAAGTCAAGAGGAAAATGAGGCTCATTAACAACTGCTTTCTACCAGCGTTACTGGACTGCACTCATTTCATATTTTAAGGGCTATTTTAATGAACAAAATTATTTGTAAAGGGACATACATTCGCAAAAAGGTATTCGTACAAACAAGAAATAATGGCCTATCGGCTTTGCCCTGTTAAATAAACATGGAAGAGTAGGAAGATCTTCTAACTTTGTGGACTTTTTAAGTAGCAAATTTTGTCTAATTAAAGTTGGTTTGTATTAATTTCATGTTTGGTCTTTTGTGTTGATCTTTATCTTGCTTACAGAGAATCAGAAAAAAAGTAAAGCAGGGAAAATTTCAAATGAGGAAGCTAACATTTCTAAAGTAATTTTAGGGTTGCTTTTCTTTTTAGAAGGTATGGGAAGAAAATTATTTTGGGCAGAATTCTGTGTAGAGCATTAATTAGGAGAAGTGATCGATGAAGCCACCGTCTTCATTGAGTGGGAACTTACAGTCTTGGGTTACTAGAGGTGCCTTCTGCAAACACTTAAAATATGTTCGCCTTTTTTCCCCATTCAAGATACCCTCAACTGTAGGAAGCAACTCTATGCACACAGTTCTAATATCTCAGATGTCTTATAATTCGGAAAATAGGAAGCCCCAGGTTAAAGTCCCTAGAGGAAGGCTGACCTGCCGATCTGCGGTGTCTGGCAGTAGCTAGTCATGAATGAGCATTTAACAGCAGATGGGCAACTCATATAACACTTGGCTCAGAACCTAAAAAGAAGCTGGCCTTATCTGTTACAGGGGTGCACAACGCTCAGCCCCACCTTGGACGAGAGGGGCAGACATGGCTTGGCATGCTGTCAACTCCTTAAGTAGGACTAACAAGTACTCTGAAAGTTGAGTGCTGAATCCTTCATGTATGGACTCAGCACCTCACGTTTCTCTATCACCTGGGGTCCTTCTGAGCAGCAATGATAGCTAGAGAGATACCTGTGAATGTCTGGAGCCAACGACTGAGAATAGGCTTCGGCAGGATTCATAGAATCAGTTTAAGAGAGAGACATGTGAGAGAAGGAATTTTGGTAAAGTTTTTCTCCAAAGGCTAACTTTTACAATAGCTCAATATAATTCAGGTTTGAAAAGGGTTTTACTAAGACAAACCCTGGCTTATTACCATCAGTATAAGATTCTGATTTATTCAGTTTCAACCTATGTCATATCAACTTTAATATTCAAGTTTTCCTTCAGGCAATAATTTACTAAACTTACAATAATGAGGCTCAACCATATAAATGAGGCTATTATAATGAAACCCCAGTACAATGAAGGCTCTTTGAGCTCATTTCATACTTTTCCTAATCCAATAAACTTCCATTATCACAAAATAAAGGAGTTACTTCCTTGGCATTACACTGTAGCCAAAGCTAGCTATTTCTGTTGAAGAAAATACCTTAACTCGTAACTAAAATTTTATTAACATATTTCAAATCTAAAGTACTTTGCCAATTCTATAATAGCCAAGATTCAGAAAAGAAATTGGGTCTGACATTTTAACTAGAATATCACTAAACGTTTCTTTAAGACTTCTAAGTGTCAAAATGAAGATGACAACAGAAAAAAAATTAAAATGTGATATATTTCAATGGCACCATCTAAAAGCAACTGGCTGCCATTTAAAAATGAAGCTGTACAAAGTTTCTCCTTCATACCAAAAAATTATGATACATGAATTAAAAATTCAGGCCACTTCCTGTAACATCAGAAGAAAGAAGAAAACCAAACATCAGTCTGCAAACTTCTTTCCAGGGAACTCTGAAATACAGATTTATACCGGCTCACTCCAGAAAAGGGCCACGAGGCGATGAACTGGCAGGACACACCGCCAGAAGCCTGGCCTCTGCCTCCAGTTCTGCTCCTGACATGACTGCAAAGGGTGAGTGCAATTCAAGAATTCCTCGTCTCTTATTAAGTCTGTCAGCAAGAAAACACAAAAGAGAATTTTCTTCCCCTAGCACTATCCAACTTCTTATCAATTTACTATTTCCCTCTGCACATTTACTTTCTGAAATATACTACAGTTTCTCTCGGTTATCTACAGGCCGAGCATACAAGTGTACTGCCCCTGGTGACCCAGCACCCCCACTCCACAGCTGCTCCTGTAGGTCAAGGATGAAGGCCCCAGACAAAGCCAGAGGCCAACATCTGGTATGAGGAAGACTCTTTCTGGTATGTGTATAAACGTGTATGTCTTAACTTCACTCCAATGCCAAAGGTAAGAAATCTGTGAGCTAACTATTTGGAGCTCTTTCATAATGCATACATCAACAATGACCAGATTTTTTGACAAATTTTCCACAATGGCCAGGAGCAGTGGCTCACATCTGTAATCCCAGCACTTTAGAAGGCTGAGGGTGGGAGGATCACCTGAGCTCAGGAGTGTGAGACCAGCCTGGACAACACAGCGAGAACCCCATCTTTATTTTTTTAAATCTTCCACATTAAGGTAAAAACACTTACCAGAAGCACAGGGTACCTACAAGCCTCTACTGAAGAAAAGGATCACAAAACAAGGATAAAAATATGCATGCACCCATGAATCCATTTAAAATAATTAAGGTGCTTTGTGCGCCAGGTTCTACCAATGGTTCTCAATCTTGATGCACAAAAGAATTACTTGAGAAGCTTTATTACAAATACCAACAACCAGGCCTTACACCCAGAGAGTCTGATTATACTGTACAGCCAGGATTGAGAACCACCGTTTGATATGCTATTACATTATTAATCTAACTTCACCTTAAAAATCAATTTGCCTTTATTTCTTAAGTAACATTTGTAAGTTTTTTTCCTAAAGATAAAAGACATGCTCATTTTTTTTAAATATGAAAAGATTTTGATATATTTTCTTCATATATAAACAGTTTATAAAATGATCTTCATACTATATAGAGCTTTGTATCCTGCTTTTTTTAAAGAAATAATTATAAATTTTCTCCAAAGAGCAGTACATGGAAATATGATCTTTAATAGCCCCTAATGTTTTAAATGGCACATATTCATAAACAGTTCTGATTTTAATACTGGAATGAAGTGATACTCATTTTATACATCTGTACTTGATGAAATGTTTCAACTATTGTATGATAAAGCAGCGAGAAGGCAAATTATGAATGGCCCTACTCTGTGGCACAAATAAGAGAGGAAAGTGAATGACATCAGGAAGATGAGAGTAATGAACAGAAATAATGAAAAGGTGGTGGGTAATTATGGCTAAAACGCATTCAAAAGAATAGATAAAGTAAGCAGCTAAAGACTATATATGAAAAACAAAGTTTAAAACAAGATCTGTATCATCAGCTAACTTAAAATTGAGTTAGGGAGATAAACACATAAAAACTAAAAACAACTAGTGGCATGGGAAGGACATTGGCCTGTGGGATTGTAAAATAAACATTAGTACAAAGAGCGCTGTAGGCGTTTACAGAAGTTCAGAAGAGGTGCTATGGGGGAGAAAGAATCAAATCAGTGACTAAATTTCCCCTTCAATGGGAAAGAGAAAGTCAATAAAATTGTTTTGTTTGTAGCATTCTTCCAGGATCACAAGCTACAACATTAAAAAAAGTTACTGAAGTATTAGATGCAAAAGAGAAATCAGTTGAATATTTACCACCGTCCCAATTACAAGAAAAGAATTAATAAAGCCTACTGAAAACAGAACTAGCATTAGGAGACAGGAGATGCCAAGTACTGAACTAGGTGTGATCAGGTGGCCTTACACTTAGAAAGGTAATTTGTTACCTTAAGTACACAGGAAATACTTGTTCCTATCCACCATCTTCCCTAACTGTGTAAGTAAAAAAGGCAGTAAAATGAAGTCACATTGAAGAACAACAGAAATACTTCTAACTACTCACAATAAAGAACATCAGATAAAACACAACTTAAAGAAATTCAGGTTATTCAGAACAAAAAAGACATGGTTATACACCAGGCCCACCTGTAAGATATGGCCCTGGCATACTGGCCTTCCAAGATGTGGAGGCGACTATGCAAATGAACCAACTGCAGGGGTCAGAGGTAACCACAGCATCTGAGCCTCAAGATTCTGAGACCTCATAAGGAGACTTGCTTTCCTCTCACAACAGAAATCTTTTGATGATACTGAGAGGAAGATAATCTTACTCACAGAGGCTAATATTTTAATTTGCAGTATCAATGACAAATGCAGATAATACTTAGCAATTAAATGCAAATGCTCCAATTTAATAGTAAAAACTTTAGTTGTTCTGATTTAGCAGCAAGCTATTTCAAAAGGAATGTCATTCCACAAATGAGGAGGAAGAAAACTCCACAACCAAAGGGCACCATGAAAAGGGACACTTGATGTCAGCTTCCCTATCCCAGGGAAGAACTGGGACCCAAAAGCCGATCCACTGAAAACAAATACCAAAGTGGACAAGAAAATAGAAAATTACTCGTTTCAGAAACTAGATGATGGGTGGTATAGACTGTGACCCCTAGAAGATAGAAAACAAAGTGAACCCCACAACAGCCCTGGCTTTTTCCCCTAGATGCCCGAGGAGTAAAAAGGATGCAACTTGGGAGACTACACAGCAAAAGAGAAGAGACCCAACAGAACCAAACCAAAAATGAGATTAGCAAATTTTAAATCAAGGAAAAAATTCAAGACCAATATCCCTCATGAACAAAGACATACAAGTCCTTAGCAAAATATTAGCAAATCAATTCAAGCATTATGTAAAAAGTAGAACACACCATGACGAAGTAGGGTGCATGCTAAGAAGATAAAGTTCCTTCAACACTCAAATATCAATCACCGTAATTGCCACATTAACAGAACAAAGGGGAAAAATTCTGTGATCCATCTCGGATGCAGAAAAAGCATTCAGGAGATAAACAGGCAAACTGTAAACTAGGAGAAAATATTTACAACACATATATCTGAAAAAAAGGACTTGCATCCAGAAAGGCTCTTACTACTCAATTATTAAAAAGCAAAACAACCCAGTTATTTTTATCTTTTTTTAAAGGAGGAAACGGGCAAAAGACTGAGGCACTCCACAAAAGGAAACACGGACGCCAAGAAGCACGATGTGTGAGTCCTCAGAATTACTCGTCATCAAGTCAATACAAGTTGGAACTACAGTGAGACACAACTACCTGCCTAAGAATGTTGCATGTTAGAGAGGACACAGAGCAAGCAGAACTCTCGTACATTATTGGCCAATGTGTAAAACGGAACGATCATCTTGGAAATCTGTCAGGTATGTACATTTAAGTAGATATCTTCTCTATAAGTCAGCAATTATACTTCTAAGTTTTATCCAAAAAAATGATAATAAAAGCCTGTGTCCATAAAACAGTCGTATGTGTTTATAGAAGCTTTAGTCACAATAGTCCGAAACTGGAAACATCACAAATGTTTATCAACAGAGCAATAAAATGGAACAAACGAATGATACACCAACAATATGGATGAACCATTAACACCTTACGCTGGCCGGGCACAGTGGCTCACGCATATAATCCCAGCACTTTGGAATGGCCAAGGTGAGAGGATTGCCTGGGCCCACAGGTTTGATACCAGCCTGGGCAACCTGGTGAGACCTCATCTCTATAATAAATCAAAAAATTAGCCAGGCATGGTGGCACATGCCTGTAGTTCCAGCTACTTGGAAGGCTGAGGCGGAAGGATCGCCTGAGCCCAGCAGGTCGAGGCTGCGGTGGCCATGAGCATGCCACTGCACTCTAGCCTGGGCGACAGAGTGAGACTCCAACTCAAAAAACAAAAAACAAAAAAACCTTATGCTGTGTGTAAGAAGTCAGAGACAACTCAGTATATATTGTATATAACACTATTTATGTGACCTTCTAGACCAGGGATAATTCACCCACAGCAAAAAAGATTCAAGACAAGTGTTTGTCTCCAAGGGTGAGAGGAAGTAGGGTTTTGACTAGGAAAAAACTTAAGGGATCTTTTGGGGGCGATGGAAATGTTCTCTATTTTAATAAAGGTGAGGTTACACAGGTATATGTACTTGTCAAAAGTCTTCAGACTGTTTATTTAATATTTATGTCTTTCCCTGTAAAAATTATGCCTCAATTTTTTAAAAAAGTTTAAAAATCACTAAAACAATTCAGATCTAAAAATGTTGATAGCTAAGAAATCAAATATTTATTTCTGAAGGGTCAAAAAAAAAAAAAACTTCTAGGTAATTCTACTTCCTGAGTTCTACATCCTTTAGGAAAATAAGCGGGGGGTGGGGGATTATGGGTCCATTTGCCCAAATAATACATTATTTCATTCTTCTATTTAACAAAAATTTGTTCCTCCCAAATATCAAAGAACTTTGAAGGCTGAAGGGGAGTAACAAAATGTTGGTAAGCAAAGAGATGTAGAATTTATTTTGAAAATTGCAGTTAAAATGTCTTCTAGTTCCCCGATAAACAAAAATTGATGAGGCTACTCAAAGTATGCTTCCATCAGATGGGGTGTTGCCAACCTTTGCTCATTAAAAACTAATTTCAACATTAGTACAGCACAGAAGGCCAACAGTCACAATCACATCAATGATTTGCTAAGACGGAAGGGGAAGAGAAGACACTGGGAATAAACAAAAAGAAAAAAGAGGATCAAGCGTAAATCCAGAAGGAAATGCAGAATAAAATACAATAAAACACACCAAATTGTACAGTCTTGTAGGATAGCAATATAAAAAGCACCTGTAAATAGCTGAACATTTTTAAGCAGGCTGAATGTTTTCACTTCACATCTGCAGGCCTCTAATGCTTTCATTCATTTATCCCCAAAGCCAGTGCCATCCCACGTCAAAAGAGAGGAGAACAACTTTTTACACGCAGGTTACGTAAAACGATGAAGCTATTTCTCCGTCTCATTAAATACTTAAAAACATTACTTAAAAACGTAATACCTTATGTTTTAATTAATTCTAGTTATCAAAAAGGATGTTTTACAAAATAAATACTACACCAAATCAATGAAGAGAAAAACTTAGCTAAAATATTTCTCACCACTTTTACAACACAGGGTGCATCGTTGCCAACCGACTTTGAAGAATTCATATCAGCTGTTAAAAAAGTAAAATAATATCAGAACAAGCCGCATTATCATAAATATTATATAAATATTTAGGTCTATATATCTGTAACTGCTTGATAAGATAAATTTCAGTTCCCAAATATGAGTTTCAGGATATCATTACAGACTCTTTTTTTTTTTTCGTGATTTAACATAGCTAAATTTGGACTGCATCTTACAACTTCTGGTTTCTTCAAAGTGATCATCAATTAAGTATGGGAAACTCTGAGTTAAAGTTAAAGATTTCTTTCATTCCAAAATATTCATGACCTTTGATGAGCTAATGTGTATTGTGACTTCCCCACAAGATGATAACTGACACGATTTCTTAATCTTTACAAACCATAAAATTCTGTTAAGAAGGAACATTTGGACACTAAGAAATGAGTGAGTTAAAGTTCCTACAAGCACTAGTTTGGGAAAAACTCATCTGGATCAATAGTTCAGGATGTTGGCACGAAAACTTTTAACTGTCATCCAGAGTAATTTTAAGGCGGCTGTCACTTTACTTCATGCAAATAAAGAAGCACAGCTGCCCTGGAATACCATGTTAGAAATGTACGGCTGCCCACATTCATTAAACAAACAGTTACCAAGTACCTATCGTGTCAGTTTCTAGGACATAGGGACTTAGCAGGGAACGACACAAGGCAATCCTTACTCTTACGAAGCCGCCATTTCAGGGGAAGGGTGCAGACAACAAAGTATGTTTGACGACGCCAAGTGCTAGGAGGGCAAATGAAGCAAGAAAGGAAGGTAAGCAGTGTTGCCACGCAGCAGGAGACCTAGACCTCACCGACAAGGTGGGACTCAAGCAGTGAGTGGTCTGAAGGCAGTAAGAAAACAAGCCAGGCAAGCATCTGGGTGAAGAGCTTCCAGGCCATAACACCAAGGCCCTGATGTGGGAGTGCGTCTGATCGTTCGGACAGCGGGGAGGCCCAGGTAGCTGGGGAAACTACGTGAAGTGAAGAAGACTGTCAGAAAAGCAGCAGGAAACAAGATGGGCTTACCAGGGGACGCCAAGGTTGGGCGATTCCCATGAAGGGCACGGGAGCCACAGGAAGGGCTTGAGGAGAGGACTGGCCAAACCAGACTCGGGCCACAGAGACTTCCGTGGGCTGCTCTGCAGGGATGGGGCACGGGAGCAAGGCAGAAGCAGGCAGATCAGGCAGGAGGCTGCACCCGTACTCAAGGCGTCCCAGAACACTCTCAGAGGCGTAGTGCAAAACAACGTAAAACGAAGTTTATGATTAAAATCTATTTAAAGCACCATGTACAAAGACCAAGAGGCAAAGAGCAGCAAGGTGGCCGAAGCACAAACTTTGAGAAGATAAAAGCGACATACAGAAGGTCTCAGAGCCATTCTCAAAAGCTGGCACTCTGTTCGAAGGGCACGGGGGAGTCATCCAAGGAACTTAAACAGCATGATCACATGATCTGCTCAGCATACTAGGCCACTCACGCCACACTATGAAGAACAAAGGGCTAGATGGGGCCAGAGAACATTCCGTGCTACCACGAGAGTCCAGACAAGGCACACAGTAACCTGCCCTAGGAGAGTAGCAGCAAAGATGGAGAGAAACGAATGGATCTGAGAAGCGGCACAGACAATGCACTAGAAAGGAAGAGGAACACTGCTGAAGAGAACTCAAGAATGCCTTCCCAGTTTCTGGGTTGAAGGGTGTCATTCATTCAATCCTCTGCTGCTCATGAAAGGATCAGGAGGCGGAAGAAGGCGATGTGCGTTTTGGACATGCCTGAGGCACACGCAAGCAGAGACCCCACTGCTATGGATCCAGATTCAGGAAATCAAGTGCAAGCCTCCGGAGAAAAGACCGAAAGATCAGCAGTAAAGAGACAGTAACACAGCCGGGAGGCGTGACGAGATTACACAGAGTGGAAAGCGAGCCAGGTGGAAGCTGGAGAACAATGGGCACCTGTGAAGATGACCAGGCACAGCCAGAAAAGTAGAAGAAAACCAGGCACGCTATCACAGAGGACAACGGAAGAAAAGGTAAAGAGCAGCAAAGGCGACAGAAAAAACCTAAGGATTTCTCAGTGTTTTTACGTGAGGCACACATACAAAGCCAGTTTCAAATTTGTAGAAGAACACACAAGCAAATTAACTCACATAAAAGAACCTATATTTTTAGACAAGCTCCCATTAACATGAGATGTCATAAATCCTCACATCCTATAGTAGAGACAGCTTATATAACCGACCATCTCCTCTAAATCACAAGGTCAAAAATATCCATCTGGCTAAAACAGCTACCACTCTTTCATGGTTTATGAGAATTTTCACCATAAGTCAAATAGAGCCTAGTTCGGACTGGGTGTGGTAGCTCACACCTGTGAGCCCAGTACTTTGGGAGGCTGAGACAGGAGGACGGCTTGAAACCAAGAGTTCAAGATCAGCCTGGGCAACACAGGGAGAGCTTTTCTCTACAAAAAAAAATATCAAAAATTAACCAGGCATGGTGGTGCACGCCTGTAGTCTCAGTTACTCAGAAGACTGAAACAGAAAGCTTGAATGTGTCCACAAGGTCAAGGCTGTAGTAAGCTGTAATCATGCCACTGCATTCCAGTCTAGGCAAGAGTGAGACCCCCTCAACCTTAAAAAAAAAAAAAAAAAGATATAGCTTAGTTCATTGAAATGGATTTGGCTCTAAGCAAAACCAGAGAATCAACACATATTTCTGCCAGATGGGTGCCCCCAGCCTACAGAAATCAGATGCATTATATGGGAAAGCACTGGATTTTAAGTGCAGCTCCATGAAGATGTCCCCAGAGGATGCTGTGCCCAGTGGTCCAGGAAGGTGGAGTGAGAGCAGTGCTCTCTTATCTGTGTCAGTCGTTCTCTAACTTCAGCATGCATCAGAATCACCTGGAGGCCTTGTTCCAACACTGCTGGGCCCTCTCCCTCTGGCTTTGGATTCGTAGCTCTAGGGGGTACGGCCCAAGAATCTACAGGTCTAACAAGTTTCCAGATGACACTGTGTATGCCATATTATTAGTATTCTGAATAAGATGCTGCTTGAAAGAAAAAAAAATAGTTCCACTGCTAAAAATAAAATTGTATAAACTGCCATAGCAAAATTAAAGAATTAACTAATTAAATTGAGATCAGAGGTAGAGTAAGAATATAGAATGCTAGAGAGAAATATCAGAAGCAAACATGAACTGCATTGTATCACTACTAATATTTCTGGTAAACTAGACAGCTTTAGAAGCAGTAAGTAAAATATTTTTTAAGTCAGTAATTTAGTTAGCCTATAGAATTTCAGGGTCCTATAATGGATCCTCCAAAATCTCAGAATAAGTATGCTAGTGAACAGCACATTTAATCAGACCTAATGCAGCTTCTAGGTAATTCTCCTAATTGAACTATGATGACTATTAGGGTTGTACAGAAAGAAAAAACATCTATACTTGTTAAAGATCTGCAAACACCCGAATTAGACAAACACAGAGAGAATCAATCCCAATTAGATGAAGGTGGGAGAGGAAAGATGTGCAAATGGCTTTAAGTGTCAAAAAACATTAAGATTATACAAGGCTGGGCACGGTGGCTCATACCTGTAATCCCAACACTTTGAGAGCCTGAAGTGGAGAAGTGCTTGAGCCCAGGAGATCAAGACCAGCCTGGACAACATAGCGAGACCTCCTCTCTAAAAAAGGGCAGGAGGATTGCTTGAGCCCAGGTATTTGAGGCTGCTGTGAGCCATGACTGTACCACTGCTCTCCAGTCTGGATGACAAAGTGAGACCCCAATCCAAAAAAAAAAAGATTATATAGACTACCTTCAAAAATCTAAAGCCATGGTGCATACTAATGACAATCTTACAGACATTTGTCCTCTTTTTCTATTGTGATTAAATTAACAGTCCTCTTTTTCATTCCTATGCTGGAGGTACATTTTCGCTCACCCACACAATATCATGTTGACTAGATAACTAGGAGCATCCTGCAATGGCTCCTGTCAAGTCATTTTGATAAGAAAGCATACACATCTTTGCACCAATCATCAGAAGCATCCAACACTTACCAAGATAGAGACGGCCAAAGCCACCTTGGCCGATGGGCAGTCCTACTTTCCACTCCTTCTTTGCCATGTCAGTTAGTATCTCCCCAACAGCAAATTGTTCTGCAAGATGTCTCTTTGCAGGGCCCTGTCTCCCAGTCTGAGCTGCTTTGACACGAGGCATTTTCACTGTAATACATAAAACAAAGCAACATTCAGAAGTATAATCTTGTAAGTGTTCAAAACATTGTTCCATAAGGAAATCTTCTGCCACAGAGATGCCGTTCAAATTCCTACCGACTCCAAAACTTAAACAAAGGATATCTGTTAAGTCTAATTTATAATGGCTCAAATCCTATTTGATTATCTCTTTGGAGAGAAGACAATAAACAAAATGACATATGTGATTATTTTCAAGGAAATATCTAGGTTTAAGTTCCAGTGGCACAGCATCATCAATGGCTAAAGATGCTGCTTAACAACAAAAAGAGAATTACGCTACGAAGCTGAGGGGAAAAGGTGTATCCAGTTAGAACATGCACACTACAGTAACGTAATGAGGAGTTTCTGAAAGTCAGTGCTGGTGTGGCAACTACACAGGAGACTAAAACACAGGACAATGGCACGGAGGGGGGAAGGGCAAGGGCCTGGAACACGACAGCAGATGCTTCCCACAGGTGCCCAGTCATCCTCATGACCCCGTCAAGGTTACATTACCGAGTCCATTTTACAGATAAGGAAATTAAGGCTCAGCAAGCTACGAACCTTATAAGGTGGAACAACAGAAACTTGTACTGATGCCCACCTGGATCCAACACCTCACCAACATGCTGCACGATTACCGAAGTCACTACAGGGAAGGAGCACAGTTGGCGAGTAACAGGAGAACCTGTAGCTGTTTAGTCATTTGGGTTCACAGGAAAGGCAAAACTGGTGACACCCTTCACCAGCTATGCTTCCCTCCACACTAACTACCCTTCAGGAGATGAACCTTAGTTGACTTTTCTCACTAACACACAAGTTTGACACAACATTCAGAGAAAGCAGCGTTGTACTGTGAAAGAGCATTGGGCTGGAATCCAAAGACCAGGCAGGTGGTCTTTGAATCAAGTCACTACCCACTGGGCTCTAAGTGCCCTCTGGTATATCTCACCTCATTGAAGGAGCTCAGTTTATATTTGTGTGCACGCACATGTCAGCATTGTGTACTGCATGATTTCAAACACCCAGTTCGACAAACATTACTTGAAAAAAGATTTAAAATAAATACTTGCTAGAACTCAATAGTCCCTAAACACATACTAGATATAGTGAAGAAATGAGGTTGGTAAGAATTAAGACAGTCTGCAGTACCAGAAATGGCTACTCAGACGAAAGACGTTCGTAGTGCCATTTTGAGCCTAGATATGCTACATATACACACTATGCTAGATCGGAATCTTTCACCAAACACCCACCATCACTCAAAATACACAAACTCCATATCTGCAAATGTTCTTTACTAATTTTTTGGAGATTTTTAAATTGAATTTTTCCCACAGAATACTAATGCATCTTTGCTGTCTAAACCTCTAACAAAAAAAAACCTTCAACATAAATCAATGCACCTTATTTCTTCATTATCAATTATCTTAATTAATGTGTTTTTAATCAAGGTAAAATCTTGTTGAATGGAATTTCATTGCCAACCAAGACAGCTCAGACTCAAAATACCAAAAAAGATGACTTTTACACCTATAGTAGTAGACCAAATAAAATAACTAAATCATATACAGTATTTCCAAATACTAAAATGGATGCCTTCTGAATGTTATCCAACTTTATCAAATCGTCAGACTAATCTATTTGTTTCCTCATAATAGTCAAAACAGTTTAAGATGAGTGAAAAACATGTTTTTTATCTTTCTGTAACTCAAAATAGTGACTGGACAATCTTTTGTGTCTGGCTCAGCATCTACTCAATGTAAATTGTGGTCAATAAAAAGTGTTTTTCCTCCAAATAAACTGTCTGCTTTTATTTTTAGTTTTATTCCTATGGCCAATTAATTGAAACTAATTATAATAATTAATTAAGGCTTGGAATGACTTTCTTTCCTAAAAATAGTCCCATAGAATAGCATCATCACTGTCAGTCTACCGAATACTCTGACAAATCACTGTCCTTGAAGGTGAACACTGCACATGGGAGGGGCATCATGTAACTTCCCTGAATTCTCCCATTAAACTAGACAGGGCAACTGGAGAACAAAACTCAAAACTCGTGGATAACTCTATAACCAAACAGGGAACAGTACTCCCAATATCTACAAATTCCACAACTTGAGTAGGTGAAGACAAACCATAAATAGCAGCAAGATGTATGCAGTATCAGCAACAGTAAAGAAGGAAACAGAAGAAAGTAGAGTGCCTCCGATGAATGTGAGAATCCCCAATTATCAGGAGATACTACTTCTTAGAAAGCACACAAGACACTGTGAAAACAGTGGCTGTGACTCTCAAAACTCAAGCCAAAGGCCCTTCCAGGTCAAAGCCTCAGGCTGAGGAGAAACTGCTAGGGATGGAAGCAGAGTGAACATCACAAGGAGGATACAATGAAGGAAAAAGAAAATTCAAATGAAAGTGGATCTACGAGTTAGCCCCCATGTTTTAGAATACTACACAAAAACAAATGAAGAGAAGGCTCTAGAGAATGACATGAAGTTGCCCTGAAACATACCCCCTAAAACTAACTGCACATTAAGGAAAACTAATTGCATATGAAACTCTGCAACAGAAAAGGAACAAAGCTTAGTCCTACCAAAGTTCAGAAAGACAGAAAGAGAGAGAATCCCTTCAGAAAAGCACATAAAAAAAGCATGCCTCCCCAAAAGTTGATAGCTTTATAAAGTATTTCAAAACAATCTAAAAAACATTTTATATACAAAGACTAACATGAATCCGAATTAGAAAAATTTAGAAATTGGATGATAAAAGAAAAATAAAATGAAAGACAAAATCATTTCAGAAATGAAGACTAAATTAGAAAGAACATAAGTCTGAATACAATTTTTTTAAATGACTTAAAAATAGAAAAACAAGGGAGTCAAAAAGGACAAAAAGATAGTAAGACAAAAATCACAAATTTAGAACATGGAAAAAATTGATATAACAAAGAAAATCAAAAAAAGGGAAGAGAATACTAAAAATACTTTTAATTCAAGAAAAGTTTCCTAAACTTCAAAAAAAAAGTGAAACTACATATTGAAAGGTCATACCACACACATTAGACAAATCAACCCAGAATGACCATCACTAAGGCACAGTCTAGTGAACTTGATAGTAAAAGAAAATATTCCTTGAGCATCCTGGTCAAAAAGCATTAAAAAAAAAGAATAAGGAAAATAAAATGACAGTAACGCTTTATGCCAGCAGGAAAAAGAGAGAGAGAGAGAGAGAGAGAGAGAGAGAGAGAGAGAGAGAGAGAGAGAAGTAACATATTTAAGATTCAAGGAAAGAAAACATGAACTAAAGATTTTATACCCAGCTAAACTTTAAGTATAAAGACAGGAAAGCGTTACCAATTTGGAAAAAGAGAGTAAGATTCTGCTGGAGAACAAGCCTCAGATATCAGAAATGACTAATGAAATGTCAGTATCAGTGAGAAGTAAATATATAATTGTACAACTGAGACTCAATGAGAATTATAAATGAGAGGACAGAGTACATTACAGGCACACATTCTGACAATGTAAATATAGTACAACTATAAAAAATAAAATAACATATGCAAAAGAAGCAACTTTCCAGCAGTCATATTGTGATGATACCTGGTTTTGTTAACTAAGGCTATTATGTGCATAAATGTGGAATTATGCAAATTAGTACGTAATTGTCCTATTTTTATTCTATCATTACCTTGTGTCCCTAAAAATCAGGATTCAGATATGGAAGAAAGGAGATACAGGACAGTTAAAAGATAGAAGATGTAAGGTTAAAAATGCTCTACCTGGAAATATTTTTAATTAAGAAGGTATTTTTTGCAATAAACACAAACACCTTTGTATTTCTTAGCCCCATTCACAAAAAAAAGCTTAGGAACAATTATCAACCTAGTACAAAGACTATCCCTAGCACACAAACTGTATTCCTAAGAGACCATTTCCTGCTAAAAGAAAAGTAGGTTCCCTTGTAGAAATTATGGATTTCAGCTCTGGAGTTGGAAATGTACAAGATGAGCTTAGAACATCTTGTCTTGTTGGATGGCAATAAGCTATCAAAAACTACTAGGGTTATGTCAGCAAGATCTAATAAGCCAGTTTGGAAGATGCTCCCACTAACCAAAGATGGGATAATTTGAGTCAACAAAGAAAATAACCACAATAGATCAAAACATATAAAATGGGTAAATCCAAGAGGTCGTAATAGTAAGGAAACCTAAGTGACCCCCATGTGAGAATAACAGGAAATCATTCAATTGGAAAATTGGTAAATAGCATCAAGCATTTATCCTTTCTTCCCTATATGACTTGTACCACTGAGTAACCAAACAGAAGATGAAGAGAAATTTCTCCTTACAGAAATACTGCAACTAATAAAGGGAAATGGTTTTATATTATCACCATTTCCATCTCCTAATGAATTAATGGATCCAGGCACTATGCAGTGAGAGCTACTAACATTAAAATATGAGATATCTGGAAAATATATGTCTCCTGGTAAAAGAACATGCCACTAAAATAAATAAGTTGAGTTTGAATCTTATCAGGCCTACCAGTTTACAAGATATGAAGAGAACAGTATACGATGAAATATAACTCAACAATTGGATCAGCAAAATCCTGACTGGGAGAAACCCACAGCACATTTGGCACTTCCATTTTTTCAACAAACAAAGGAGAAGAAAACTAGATTTAAAGGTACCTAAAACAACATGTCTAAAACAAAACAAAATCAGACAAATCCAAACCACAACATCTAGCGATGCTTACTTGAGGGATAAAACCAGAAAGACAAACAAGGAAGTGACTGCCAAAGAACTCACTTTCGGGTGGAACAGGAACCAATTCCATCAGAGCACGTGGTAGGTAAAGCTGGATATCTCAGATGGTATTTACCTGACTTCCTTATAAATCATTAAGTCTACATTTACTTGACAAAGTTTTCTGCTTTATGTAGGTTATTTATAACTTTAAACATTAAAAAATT